AAGCGGAGCCGCAACCAGTGCAAAGAGTATCGGCAGAGCTAAAATTATTTGGCGCATAAAACATAGAGCACGACAGGCCGCAAAAGTTCCGGGCGCGCACATCTCAGTCATCCCTGGCCAACACGTCGGTGAGTTCTTCCAGCGGGTCTCTGGCAGTACCTGCCTGCTCTGCAATCAGCTTGGCTTCTGCGTTAGCAACAAACGTTGCCAAAGCGGTTTTGTAACCGGCTGGGTCGACAAACGGATGGGGTTGGCCGGGTTGTCTTTGCTCCAGTAGCGCGGCGCGCTCAAATACACCGCCCATGGCAGCGTGATTAGGCACACTGACGCTGATGTCATCAGCCATACTGACCAGCCGCGCATAGCTGTCGAGGTACATCTCGGTGCGCTCAATGCCGGAAAAGTTCAAACCAACCCCACCTAAGGTGATGGCTTTATAGGTGTTGTCGCCGTCGCGCACGTCGTAGACCAGGCTCAACACGCCGGTGGTGTGGCCAGGGGTTTTGAACATCTGCACACGGGCATCACCCAGCTCAATAACGTCGCCGTCTTTGGCGACAATATCCTGTTGCGGAACCGGCATGTAAAACGCGGCAACCTCAGGTGTTTCTGCTGCCAGCGCCCAGTCTTCTTCACTCATCACTGCTTGAGCGCCATATACGCTTTGAAACATGCGCGTGCCGCCGGCGTGATCAAAGTGTCCATGGGTATTGATGACATATTTAACGTCTGCCGGATTCAGGCCCAGTTCGCGCATATTGTTGACCAGCTGACGTGACCACTTGCCGTACAGCGAGTCGATGAGGATCAGACCATCTCCCGTATCAAGAACGTAAGCGGCGACCCAATCGATGCCTACGTAGTAAAGGTTGTCGAAAATTTTGAAGGGTTTGACGTACTGCTGTGCAGGGTCTTCCCAGCTTTGCCACATAGCGGCCATTGCAGGTGGCATGGCGGGTCCGGCATAGGTGTCGAATGTGCAGTCCGTGCAGGTAACGTCAGCGGGCGCGTTGAAATTGGCCAGTTGCGCAACCCAGTCTTTGATGGCCACCCCTTGTGCGCCATAACTGTAGAACTCCGGGCGTCTTAAGATAGTGTGGGATTCGCCGCCGGCTACAAACGAGCGGATATTTGATACCTCGGCTGCTATGTCTGCGTGATTGGCCTGCAGTGCATCAAGCAGTTGCACATCGGTTGCACCCCCCAGCGCGAGAAAGCGTTTTTGTACCGAGTCCTCAGCGGCGTCATAGCGGGCAAACAGAATCTCGGGGTTCGCTTTTGCGGCAGCGATGTAGAGTTGTTCATAGTTGAAACCTTCCGGAACCAGCGCTTCGAAACCGGGCTCTGTATTCAGAAAATCGAAGGTGCCCCACTGTTCGTCCGGACGTGCGTCGGCGTTCATGCGTCGGTAGCCCCCCGCACCGTCACCCAGTTGCGCCACTTTTGCTTCACTGTAATGGTCAGAGATAAGGGCCGCGTAAAATGGAGACGGGATTGCGCCTGCAGATGAGCCGGTAACAAATACACGTTCTGGATCGGGTACATTGGCATAGGTCCAATCCAGCACAGCCTGGGCATTTGCGCGACCCTGATGGTGTACTGTCAAAGGCTCGCCGCCTTCTTCCAATGGCGGGTAAACCGTGTCTGAGGCGCCGATGTGTACATCCCCGGTGCAGTACGGGGCCATCACCACGCTGTAGTCTTTGAAGGGGTTGTCCGCATGTTCAAAGTTAAACGCACCAAAAGGCTCGGGGCGCCAGCCTTCACGAATGTTCACCGTATAGGTGGGTTGGCCCGCAGGATCGCAGGTCTGGCGTGTCCAGCAGGCGCCGCCGCCCTGGAAAAACACCATCAATTTGTCGGCGTCCCCGGGCCGCACAAAAAAGCGGTAAGGGGTGCCATCTGAACAGGTGGTTTCACCGCCAGGTGCAATTTCCGTCCAACCCGCTGCCAGTGTGCTGATGCCTGGCTCGGCAACTGCTTCCGACTGCGCCTCTGCGGGTGCTGGGGGCGCTGCGGCCTGCTCCTGACCACATCCCCATACGCTCAAGGCAATGACCAGCATCACCAGTTTATTTATAAACGACATCCGCTCTCTCCCACTTTCGCTTAAACTCTGTCTTTGCAGGATTCTACATGGCATGAGGAGAAATGGGTGACAACGCGTGATGACCTTCGCAGTGTGCTGACCGCCTGGGAAAGTGGCGAAAAAGATGAGCTGACGGTGTGGCAATGGGCGGAAGCTGCCCAGAATGAGCAACCAGAGGACAAACTGGTGCAGGATCTGGTTGACGTCCTGGCCGGGCTGCCGTTTGACATGATCCTCAAAGAAGACATCCCGGTGATGCAGGACGCGCTGGCCAATCCACCGGCGGAGACGGATCTGTCAATCAACCTCTTATGGAATCACCTTGATGGCATATATGCGGATCAACGTCGACATGACCTGAGTGAACATCCTTTCTACGGCCAGTTCTGCGACGGTATGGGTTAAACCATGGTAGGCCAACTTCAGCAGCTGATTGATCTGCTCAAACTTGAACAGGTGGAAGAAAATCTGTTCCGCGCCTTTCATCCGGAAGATCGACAACGCCGTCTTTATGGTGGGCAGATCATGGCTCAGGCGCTGATGGCTGCTGCACAAACGGTAGAGACAGAGCGTGCGGTGCATTCTTTGCATGGCTATTTTCTGCGTCCAGGTGATCCGAAGGTGCCGGCGGTTATCAAAGTTGAACGGCTGCGCGATGGGCGTTCTTTTTCGACGCGGCGCATCCTTGTGGTGCAGCACGGCGAAGCAATTTTCAGTATGGATGCTTCTTTTCAGGTGGGAGAAGAGGGTTTAACTCATCAGGGGCCCATGCCGGATCTGCAGCCTCCGGAAGCGCAGAAGATTCCTGCTTATCTGTATGACAGCGCATTTATAACCTGGCGCAATGAATTTCGTCGTCTGCAGTCTTCAACACCGCAGCCGCCGGAACAGTTTGTCTGGTTTAAAAGTAATGGCAAAGTGCCGGCGGATCCGATTCTGCACGCCTGTTTGCTGGTGTATGAATCGGACAACACGCTGCTGGGTACGTCTCGGCTACCTCACCGCGGGGAATATGAACCGGACCGCATGCAGGTGGCCAGCCTGGACCATGCGATGTGGTTCCATCAACCCGTGGATGTGAATCAGTGGTTGTTGTATGCCCAGGACTCACCCAGCGCCTCGGCTGGCCGGGGTCTCACACGCGGGAATATATTCAGCGAAGATGGCCAACTTGTGGCATCAACCGTTCAGGAAGGTTTGATCAGACTGCGGTAAGGCGTGCCCATGTTTGAACGGCAATTAGAAAAACTAGCCCAGCACTTTGTACAGAACAACTGGCGTTTGATTACTGCGGAGTCCTGTACGGGTGGTCTGCTTGCTGCCAGCATCACCAGCCTTGCTGGTAGCAGCGAATGGTTTGAAGGCGCCTTTGTCACTTACCGGTTAACCGCAAAAGAACGTTTGCTGGGGGTACAGTTGGAAACTTTACAGCACCATGGCGCGGTCAGTGAACCTGTCGCCCGGGAAATGGCAATGGGAGCGCTGGCGAGAAGTGATGCTGATGTCTGTGTGGCGGTCACCGGGCTGGCAGGCCCCAGTGGCGGTGAGCCGTTGCAGCCAGTGGGTACGGTCTGGTTTGCATGGTGTGATGCCGATGGGCTTATTCAGTCCGAAGCGCATGTTTTCAAAGGCACTCGGCAACAGATTCGCGAAGCGGCGGTGGCAACAGCCCTGGATGGGCTGCTGCGGTTATTTGACGAATAAGTCCCGTTATAGCGTGTCGACGAGGTTGCGCAGCAACTCACACTGTGCAACCCGCTCTGCGCTGTCTTTGCCCGCCAGGCTGATGTTTAACGCAGTCACCCCCGACTCGCGTAGCGCGTAAAGTCGTTCTTTAACAAAGCCCGGATCACCTATCAGTGAGCTTTTGGCCAGATAGTCGTCTGGAATTGCGTCTTCGGCAGCTTTTTTCTCCCCCGCCAGATATAGATCCTGGATGAGTTTTGCTTCCGCCGGGTAACCACTTTTAGAGAAAATATCGTTGTAGAAATTTTTCGATCGCGCACCCATGCCACCGATGTACAGGGCAGCGCCCGGCCTGGCTCGATCGCGCAGGTGTTCCATGCCGTCGCCAATCGCTACCGTGCCGCCAGCGTAAATCTCCAGAGGTTTGCGCTGCGGGTCGCGTTTGGCTGCGCCGCTTGCCAGGGCGTCACCCCAGACGTCCGCTGCCGCTTCGGCGGTATAAAAAGCGGGTAGCCAGGCATCAGCCAGTTCCGCGGTCATGGCAACACTGGCCGGCCCCAGGGACGCTATGGCAATCGGGATTTCGTCACGTACCGGATGGTTGATGAGTTTCAGCGGCTTACCCAAGCCGGTGCCTCGGTCCTGTGGTAGTGGAATCTGATAATGCTTGCCCATGTACTGGACTTTTTCGCGTCGCCACACCATCCGGCAGATTTCGATAATTTCACGCAGGCGCGCCACCGGCGCCTGATACGGGACGCCATGGAAACCCTCAATCACCTGCGGACCTGATGCACCCAGGCCCAGCATGCAGCGACCGTCGGACAGATAATCGACACCTGCCGCCGTCATCGCCAGAAGTGATGGGGTGCGGCTGTAGACCGGCAGAATGCCCGAGGCAATGGTGACGGTTTTGGTTTTTGCTGCGACGTAGCCCATCGCGCTGGGGGCATCAAAAGAATATGCCTCGGGCACCCAGACGACATCAAGGCCGGCCTGTTCCAATTCCTGCACTTCGGTCACGGCCTCTTTAAAGCCGCCGGCGTAACTGAGTAATGTTGATATCCGCATGGTTTCCCCTCTTGCGTTACTTTGGTTCCTATTGCGTGATTATGATCAGTTAGGCAAGGTCAGCAAACCGTTTGTTGGGAAGGTTGTTATGAAGCGTATTGGTAGGCCACTGATAGCAGGGTTTAAATTTGCCGCGGCGCTTGCGGCATTACTGATGAGCACCTTTGCAGGGGCACAGCCAGATCTGGAAAGTTACGCCCGCCAGGGTGTGCAGCGGTTATCAAGCTATCTGCAGATAGACACAGTTAACCCGCCCGGTAACGAAAGCCGTGGCGTTGAATTTCTACAGAATATCTTCACCCAGGCCGGGGTGGCATTTGAGAGTGTTGAATCTGCCCCAGGCCGAGGCAACATCTGGGCGAAACTGCCTGCGACAACTTCTCCAAAACAACCCGGTCTGATTCTGCTGCATCACATAGATGTGGTACCCGCGAACCGCGACTACTGGAGCTTTGACCCGCTATCCGGCGAGGTGAGAGACGGTTTTGTCTACGGCCGCGGTGCGATTGATACCAAAGGCCTGGGTATTGCTCAGTTGCAGGCTTTTCTGGCGCTGGCGGAATCTGACTTACCGCGCAATCGTGATCTCTGGCTGATGGCGACCGCTGATGAAGAAGCGGGCGGTTTTTTTGGCGTGGGATGGCTGGTAGAACATCGGCCCGAGCTGTTTGCTGATGTGGGTTACGTTTTGAATGAAGGTGGCTCGGGACGGGTGTTTGGCAACGAAACAGCGGTTATGGTCGAGGTCACGCAGAAGGTCCCGCTGTGGTTGAAGCTTACCTCCAGGGGCCGCCCCGGGCACGGTTCAGCACCGCTGGTTGAAACCTCTGTGACCCGCATGGTGCGAGCGTTGAAGCGGATCAGCGAAACAGAGTTCCCGGTTCGTGTGATGCAGCCGGTTGCAGACATGTTTGAAGGCATTGCACCCTATCAGAGTGACGTGGATCGTCAGGCTTTTGCCACAATTGGACAGGGCAACCTCAGCGATGAGTATTTGCTTGCCTTAAAAATGCGCAGCCCTGGATATCACGCGCTGCTGCGCAATACCTGCTCTATTACGCGGTTAGAAGGCAGCGCAAAAATTAATGTTATTCCTGCAGAAGTGCATGCTGAACTCGATTGCCGCCTGCTGCCGGATCAGGACCCGCAAGCGTTTCTGCAGGAACTGAATCTGATTATCAATGACCCACATGTATCGATAGAGAAAATTATGGGTTTCACCCCTGCGGTAAGTAAGACGCAAACGCCGCTGTTCAAAGCCATTGCAGCGGTTTCTGCGGACGCGTTTGACGCCCAGGTAGTGCCAACGGTTGCGGGTGGGTTCACCGACAGCCACTTTTTCCGCGACCTGGGCATCACCAGTTATGGCTATTCACCGTTTGCTTTCACCACTGCAGAGTTTTCCGGTGTACATGGCAACGATGAGCGTGTGTCTGTGATTAATATCGAACGCGGCATCAAAGTTTATTATCAGCTGCTGGCAAATTTTGTCGGTGGGCAATAACCTCTTAAAAAAACAGGAGAGAACATCATTAACACCTTAAATACCGTTGACCACGAACTCGACTTTTCGCCGTTACATGAGCGCATGTCGAGTTATGTCGAACAGGACATTCTGTCCTGCTGCAGCACGATCATCATGCGCGGCACCGATATCCTCGATTATAAGACTTTCGGGTATATGGACAAAGACAGTGGTGCGCCCCTGACCGAAGATGCGATCTATCGGATGTATTCCAATACCAAGATTGTTACTTCGGTTGCTTTGATGATGCTGTTGGAAGAGGGCAAATTTGCCCTGGACGACGAATTGTCCCGTTACATGCCGGAGTTTGCGGACCCTAAGGTGTTGCGCCCGGATGCAAAATCCGCCGATGACGTAGAAGCGGCCAGCCAGCCGATTTTAATCAAACACATCCTCAGCCATAGCGCGGGATTAAGCTACGGGTTTATTGAACCGGAATCCATTGTTGATCAGGCGTACGCCGGAAAGTTGAATGTGCTGGGCGACTTCAGTGTCGACCTGGAAGAATTCTGCAGCCGCGCAGCGTCATTGCCGTTAGCTTATCAACCCGGCACCAGCTGGCGTTATTCAGTGGCAACGGACGTATGTGCGCGTCTGATTGAAGTGCTCAGTGGCCAGCGCTTTGATGAGTTTCTCAAGAGCCGAATATTCAACCCGTTAGGTATGAGTGATACAGACTTCTGGGTGCCACCAGAAAAAGCAGATCGCTTTATTACCATGTATGCCCCAACAGATCTGTTGGATCCCATGAAGCCCGGCATGGTAAAGGTTGATGACCCGGTTTCAGGTTCATACAACAGTCCGCGTAAACTGCTCAGCGGTGGTGGCGGCCTGGTGTCTACCATGGGCGATTACATGACGTTTATTCGTGCCATTGTGAACAATGGCAGCTGGCAGGGTGTGCAACTGTTGCAGCCGCAGACGCTGAAACTGATGCGCACCAATCAGCTGGCTCCTGGTGTTGGTGTTTCGTTCCCGATGTGGGATATGCCGGGTACCACATTTGGTCTTGGTTTTGCGCTGCATGAAACCCTGCAACCGGGTGAACCCGCAGGCGCAAAAAATGAATACCACTGGGGCGGTATGGCAGGCACGCATTCGTGGATGGCGCCGGAGGCGGGCATTACCGGTATGTGCTCAACACAGCGAATGCCTGGCTTCTGGCATCCTTTCAGCCATGAATTCAAGAGCCTGGCCTACCAGATCGCCGGCTGAAGCAGGCAGCTATGGGCAACAAAGTGTTTGAAGTTGTTGGCCTCGATCATGTCGTGCTGCGCGCCAGACACGCCGAGCAGCTGGTAGATTTTTACTGCCGGCTATTTGGCGTGTCGGTTGAACGAACGGTGGGGGATTTTCTCTGGCAGCTACGTATTGGTCACAGTCTGTTGGATATCATCAGCGCGCCGGATTCGGTGGGGGCCAATATGGACCACTTTTGTGTGCGTATTACGCCCTACGATGAAAAAGCGATTCTGGCGGCGCTGGAGGAAATGGATGTAGAGGGTGAGGTTGCCGGGCGTATTTATGGTGCTCAGGGATTTGGACCATCGGTTTATTTTATAGACCCAGAAGGCAACAAGGTTGAACTCAAGGCACACAAGCTTGAGTCAGACGATAGCTAGCGCTGCTTCACGAGTGAGAAGGCGCGATCCGCCATGGATAACAAAGTGGTAAAAGCGAGCAGCCAGGCGAAGTATGCGGCTGTGGTAAGCAACCACCCCCAGTTGAGTACCTGTGCGCCGATGACAACGCCCACCAGCACATAGTAAGCGATGCCATTGTTGCGGCCAATGAAACTCATGCGTAGCGCAACGCCGGCGAGGGCCTTCGAGTCAAGCATATACTGGATAAACGCCAGGCCAATAAGCCATGGCAGATAAGGGTTGATAAGACCAAGCATGCTCAAACAGCCACAGCAGATGCTGACAAACAAAGCGTCAGTGCCGTGATCAAACAATCCACCTAAGGGGCTGGTCTGTGCCAGTTTGCGGGCGATTTTGCCGTCGTACACATCAGTGATGACCGCCAACGCAAACAGCATAGCTGCAGGCAGCCAGAGTTTGTTGACCAGCGTGTAGGCGATTACAGGAAGGCTGACTAAGCGTAAGCCGGTTAACAAATTCGCCCACGTTAGCCATCGAAACATGAGTTGTCAGCGAGGGCTTAAGCGAAACAGAACACCATCTTCTTCGTCAGCAAAATCTTCCTGCTCCATTTCATATTTTTTTACGTATTGGGCAGCGACGCTGAAAATTTCTTCTTCGACGATAACCTGGGATGCTTTTGCCCGAATGAGCTTGCCGTCAACACTCAGAATGACGTCTGGATTTTCCATTATATTGCGCGCCCAGCGAGACTCACCATCACCTGCTGCGATGTACGGCACGCCATCAGCGACGACGATCCAGATCGTCACTGAATAAGGGTCAATGGGGTTGGTTTCCAGTAATACGTTTTCGATATCATTGGTGTAGGTCCAGTCGCCGGGCCAGTCAATGGGTGCACCTTCAAGCTCTCCTCCAGCAATTGGTCCCATCGGTCCAGAACATCCGCTGAAAATAAACAGGCTAAAAAGCGCGATAACCGCGTTGCGTATCACTTCGCCCCCAAGATATTGTTATTAGGTCGCTTATGCTACTGCATGAGCGTCGAAAAGAAATCAAATCGATGTAATCTTCTTTATTGGAATGTATATGGAATCAGCGCAGAAGCGGCAAACCTGGCTTATTACGGGTGCAAACGGCAACCTGGGCAAGCGTTTGATCAGTGAAATACTGAACGATGATGAAAATGCGGTTGTTGCCGTGGTTCGCAGTGCCCGTGCTCAGCATGAAATCGAATCTCTGGCGCTGAGTGCCGAGCAGATCTCCCGGCTCGAAGTAAAAGTGCTTAACTACGATGATGTGGCAGCGTTAACTGAAGTTGCTCAAGGCTGCGATAAAGCAGTACATCTGGTGGGGATTCTCAAAGAAACCAAGATGGCCAAGTATTTTGATGCCCATGAAGCCAGCACCAGCGCGCTTCTGCAGGCTCTGGCTCACTCAACGGTCAAGCATCTCACTTACCTGTCGATTGTCGGCTCAACGCCGCACTCGAGTAATGCATGCCTCGCCTCTAAAGGTCGAGCTGAACAGCTTTGTCTCAACCACGACCTTGCGGCCTGTGTCTTGCGGGTGCCGATGGTGTTGGGTGAAGGCGACTACGCAAGTTTTGCATTGCGTAAGCGGGCCCAGGCCGGACGCAGCATTACCTTCCGAGCGGACAGCATCGAACAGCCTATATACGCCGGAGATGTGGTGCAGGCAGTTATTGCGGCGGGTACAAAAGAAATCAATGGAGATCTGAATCTGGCTGGGCCGGAAGCGCTGAGTCGACGTGCGTTAACCGAGCGCGCAGCAGCCATTGTAGGTGGCGGTGGAAAAGTGATTTCATTGCCGTTGGGCATAGGTCTGGGTATGGCCGGGTTGTTTGAGACGTTTATGGCCAACCCGCCGGTGACAAAGGCGATGCTCGAAGTTCTGGATCACGATGATCAGGTTGATCCCGAAGCCGCCTGCCAGGCGCTCGGGTTGAGCCACCTGACCCCGTTGGATGACATGTTAAAGGCGGTGTTGAGTTAGGCGATACGCTTGGCCAGGTAAGGCAGGCTGACATCCATGCGGTAATCGACGCCGCTGTGGTTATCGTTGAACTCTTCGTATCTGTGGGTAATGCGGTACTTGTGCAGCTGGTCAGATAGCAGGCGGGCGCCAAAGTGGATGTGGTACTGGTCTCGCCAGCCACAGTCGATGTAGATGCCGCGAAGGGTTTTAAGATTGTCTTTGTACTGCGCAACCATGTGTATTGGGTCGTGTTTCAGCCATTTTTCCCAGCGCCTGGGTAGTAATTCACCCGTGTTCATATCAAATGGCAGGCGAAAGCCGCCTGTAACTTTTGGATCTGGATCATAGGTGGCGGCCATACAGACCATCATCAGCGTAGTAATGTCGCCACCACTTGGCTTTTCATTGGACCAGCAATGTTCCAAGAAGCGTTGTATTCGACCATCGTCGATGCCGGGTTTGCTTTGGCGCACGATGCGCTTGCGAGCACCTTCTTTCATGGCCGGTTCAACAAAGCGTTGCAGGCTGGTCAATGCCTGAGGCCATTCGGCTTTATACACGAAGTCAAAATAAGCATCTCCCGAGTGATTGCCTACCGCCCCCCAGTATTTGGCATACTTCATCCCATGCACAATCGCGCCATAACCGCCTGAAGATTTACCAAAGCAGGCACGATGCTCACGGCTGTCCAGGGTGCGCAGATTCTGGTCTACAAACGGAATCAGCTCTCTGGTCAGATAGTCAGCGTAGCGCCCAATGGCACTTGAGTTGATGTACTGATTGCCGCCCAGGGCAGTGAAGCAGTCCGGAAAAACAACAATACAGGGGGGCATCTTCTTTTCGCTGATAAGGCGATCAAGTCGCTCAGGCACATTCTCGTCAAAACTGCGCCAGCCAACGTGTGAAGGACCTGAACCGGTGTAGCCCACCAGGTCAAAAAGCACTGGATAACGCCGGTTTTTATAGCGTGGTTCGTCGTAGGCCGCAGGTATGTAGATGGGTAATACCCGCGTTGACGGATCATTGAGAGGGTTGTCAGCGAGAATGCGGGAGCTGTGCTGTTCGAAAACTAAGCGGCCACCTTGCGCGACGGGGTTTTTTCTTGCCATGTTTACCTGGTCCTGATCTGAAGTGCGCAGCATACCGTATTCCGCTTAAGGTCACGCTTTGTTAGGGTTCTGCCCAGCGCAGCGTGATACAAGTCGCAAAAGCTCAACCGCCGGATTCAAGAAAGCATCCTAATCGGGTAGCTTGGCGCTTCGCCGTGACAGTTGTGAATGGACACACACTTATGCAAATCGACGGGCCCGCTAACATACCTGCCGAAGAAGATGGCTCGACCATAGATTTGGATGCTTTACGCGCCGAAGTGAGCAAATGGCAGGAACGCGTGCCGAAACTTGCCAAGGCCTTGCGCGAACGCACTGAAGAGCTGGCTGCAGCCCGCGAAGAGCTGCGCACCGCACAGACCAGCCCTGCTCCCGAAAACGCCCTCACCGAAGACACTGATGCCCGTCTGCAGGCACGCAACGCGCTGATTGCAGAACTACAGGAAAAGGTAACTCAGCTCGGCGAAAAACATCGTCAATTGTCCGGTACTCTGCACACTACCAACCTGGACCTTGAAAGCGCCAGGGAAGATGCGCAGAACTGGCACACCAAGTGGCAGGAAGTGACCGCGTCATTAGACGATTCAGTGGTTGTGGCAAGCCGCAGCAGCAGTGAGTTAGAGCAAGCGCGCCTGGCCTGGAGCCAGGAGAAGGAAGCGCTTGCAGAAGCTCATGCTCAAGCAATGCAGCAGCTGCAACGCGAAACAGACTCATTGCGTGTACGTAATGCCAATCTGGGTGAAACGGTAGAGTTCGCCAACAAACAGATAGAGTCTCTCGGCGAAGATATGCAGCTCTTGATGGATCGCGGCAAGAGTGCCGAAGTTACCATCGCGCAAAGCCAGGAAACCCAGTCGCAATTGCAGAATCAGATTGAAGAACTCAATCAGCAGAATATAACGCTGCAGACCCAGCTGAAGGATCGGCAGGGTTTACTGGTAGATGCCCAACAAGCATTGCAGCAACGTGATGAAGAGGCCCTGCAGGCAGCACAGATTGTGCAAGCGCAGCTGGAAGAGGCCCAGGCGTCGCTTGCTGAAACAGAGGCGCACTATCGTTCAGCTATGCAGGCTGCAAACGAGGAACAAACTCAGCTCGTCAACCAGCTCGATAAAAAAGACGCGCAGATAAACAGTTTAAATAGGCAGTTGGACGAAGGTATTGCGCTTGCACAGAAGCAGCGTAAAGAGCATCAAGAGCTGGAGGCGAACCTGCAGGCGTTGCAGCACCAACTGGAACAGGCAAACAACGAGTTTGAGGGCCAGCTGGCTGCGAAAGAAACAGCCTTGAGCGAATTGCAAACAGCCCTGAGCGAGACACAAACAGCCCTGAGCGAGACACAAACAGCCCTGAGCGAAACGCAAACAGCCTTGAGCGAAACGCAAACAGCCTTGAGCGAATCCCGGGCAGCTCAGGATGCCAGCGATAAAGCGCATGAAGCGCAGCTGGAGCAGAGTAAGAGTGATGCAGTCGAGCTCGCCAGATTGCGTGAAGATCAGGCGCG